AAAGAATAAGTTTTAAACATAATCTCTTGTCTGCTTTTGATTTAGTTTTCTGTGTGAATTCTATTTCAAATATCTTCGCTTATATCTTGAATCTTCTGTATGAACTTTCTTAATATAATATTATATCTTGATTTTTTTATGTGAATTATCTTAATATATTATCTTACGTAACAAAAAGATTACAAGAATTTTCTAATTAAATTTCTTAATCTTACTTTAATAGATCCAAAATTCTAATAATTAACTTTATTTTTTTTTATATTTATTATTTTATCTATATAATTTGTTATTTTACTTATTACTTTATCTACTATTTCATTTACTACTTTATTTACTACTTTATTTTTTTATTTATTATTTTATTTTCATCAAATTAGTAAATTAATATTTGTAAAAAATTATACAAAGATATTATAATATTTTTATTAATTTCTTTTTATTATATATAATAGATAATAAAAACAAATATAAAGAAATCATAAATTTTATTATGATTTTTTCTCTTTTATTATCTTATTCTTCTATATATTTATTTATTTTATTTAACTATTTATCATTTAATAATAAAATAAAATTAATAATATTAAGTATTCTTTATTACTAACTTAATTTTTATTTATTCAAGTATCAAATAATGAAAGATCTTTGATCTATAAAGAATTTGATTATATAATAAATATTCTAAACAAAAAAATTAAGAATATATATTATCTTTATCAATTTGTAAATAATTAAATATAAGAATAAATTAAATTAATTAAAAAATTAGTTATTATTAATAAATTATTTAAAATATTCTAGAAAATATTTATCTTTGATTATTTTTAAAGTCAAAAATCAATTTGTAAGATCTATTAAAATTCTTTTTTTTATTATTCTATATAGTAAGTATATATAAAGATAATCAAGAAGTTAATCTTTATGATTCTCTTTTTAATTCTCAAAAAGTATTGATAAATACTAGAAAAATATTTAATAAAAAATATTAAAGATTATATTAATAGTATAAATTATAAAGTATAAATATTTATATTTATAAAATAATATATTCATTAAATTTGTCATAAATTATATAAATCTAGATTTTTTATTGTTTAATAATTTTAGATAAGAGTAAATATTATAATAAATATAATGACTATACTTTCATTATCTAAAATACTATTTTTTCAATATTTAGTAAAGAGAAATTAGTAAAAATTAATAATAATACTTTTATTATTTATCTTATTAAATGAAAAAAAAGTAAAAAAACTTGAATTATATATAAAAATCTCTTTTATAATAATAAATTACTTATAAATATTAATTATATAATATTTAAATAATATAAAGAGAAAGTATTATTAATAATATATTGTATATTTATCTTAGCTATCTGTAATATTTTCCTTAATTCATCAAGTTCAGAAATCAAATGCAAAGATAAGTTGATAACGGGATATATATATATATTTATAATAAGTAATATTTTGAATTTGCTTAAAGTTTATATTAAAAATTATTTATATATTGAATATTTAGTAAGCTATAAAAAATAATTAGTTAGTAATATCAGAAATAATGATAGAGATAATAGAAAAAAAATTGAAAAAATGAAGCAAGTAATAAAAAAAATATTAAAAGTCATAAGCTAAGAATATAATTAAAGAAAAAAATAATGATGAGAAAGATGATGACTATGATAATTTTATAAGTTTCTTTAATACTCTTTGCAATTTATTTTTTTGAAATCTTTAAAAAAAATTAATTTTTTATTCAAAAGATTATTGATTTGAAATCATGAATTTATATAATATAGTTTTCTTTAAATTTGTATTTTATTATTATATATATATACACTCTATAATAAAATAAATATTTTTTATTATTGTTTAACCTATAAATTTTACTATTACTTGAAATTGCTACTATTTACTGCTGCTTAAAATTATTACTGTTACTTGAAATTGATATTGTAAAGTTTTACATAGAATTTTAAAAAAAAATTAAAAAATCTACACAGATCTATATTTTATTACAGATCTGTACAGATTTTTTAATTTTTTTTCTTTATCAATTGTCACCAGATTTGAAGTTTTGCATAAATTTTTGAATCTGAAGATCTACACAAAACTGCACTCTTAAAAAATTTTCTGATGAATCTCTTGTACAGAAGAAGTATAATTCCAGTTCAGTCAAAAAAGAAGAATTAGAAGAAGTTCAAATCCCTATAATCTTTTAATTATCTTATTCCAATTTTCATAAAATAATTAATATTAGATTTGATTTAAAAATAGATTAATTTGAAAAAAATCGGATTTTTTAAGCATAAGAAAAAAAATCAAAGCAAAATAATAATCAGTTTAATATAAAAAAACTTATTATTTAGCTAACTAAATATATTCTATATACTTTACGACTGTTATCTTATTTGCAAGTATTTGATTATAAAAAAAGATGATACTTATGAGAATATACCGTAATTTGCCGTTAGAATACCCCGATCAATTTATGAAGGGTATAGTGCTATTGGAAGAGGGAGGTATTCTAATGGCAAATTACGGTAGTTATATATCACAATTGATTTTTGCTTTAAGTGCACTGCTGATATTTGAGGAAAGAGACCAACGTTTTAAGGTGACAGAATGAGTTTTGGGCGCGTGCAAAAAGTAAAATATCACTAGTCCTCGAATTTAAAAACTGTAACTATTAATACTCAAAATAACAATTCATTAATAATTAATGCTATGTTAATAACTGTATGTCCATCATACCTATCTATTTACGAATTGTTGCAGCTTAGATCTTTTTTTGCAACCTCCTTTATCGTTTATCCAGTACATGAATTGGTTATAGAAATACCAATTTCAGGTATAACATTCTCACTTCAGACCAAGTTCTCATTACTTTTCTAGCTTCGCTCTAAGTACATCAAGCAAGGTCAAATTCTATTCATCTACCCATTAGGAGTTTTATCTGAATCAACAATTTTCATATTCGGTTGTTAGGTTCTTGATCCAGAAAAGGCAACGCATAATTGGAATTTTTTAGCTAGAAAAAGCATTGTTAATTGAAATGATTTATGTAAAACTTAATCTCTAAAATTCTTGCCTAAACCCCGAAATCCTTCTACGCTTCAATAAGAAATTCTTATTCTCCCGCGCATATCGGCACAGGAATTAAGCCTAACTACTCTCTCCTAACAAATTCATCAATTCACTTACGTGCATCTTACCTGTGACAATACAATCAGAACTCCTTTAGCGTTAGACCGATATAAACTAGTGTATGTATTAGGAAATTTTAGTATGTATATAAATTATTTGACGAATAAAAACTTATTCGAATAAAAATTATTTTATTCGTCAAATATTAGTTATTCGCTGAATATTCGAATGGATTCTCATTATCCGAATTATTCATAATGAATGAATCAAATAGTATTAGCACATGTTGAATCCTCGATTATCACAAAGGAAATTCTTTTAAAAGTATATCTTTACTGGGAGAAAAACTGTACGCAATTTCTATCCTTTATTGATGGCCCAAAAGCCATTCGTTTTATATATTTTCGTTATTAAAGAAATGCTACTATTAATGATATATTAATTCTTATTGCATCGATGAATATGAATGTAAAATAATATAGAACGTAATTTAAAGATATTCTTATTCGACGAATAATCCGAATAAGATTGTTATATCTGAATGTAACAATTTATTCGGATTATTCGTTGAAGAATTATTTTTATAGCTTATTCGAATAACGAACACGATAGTATAAATTAAAATTAATATGACTAATATTTATATTTCTACATAATTATTTAAAGAAATAAGTTTTCTTTCAGATTATATTTGTCATCATAATAAAGTAAAACATGTAAATTTGCATTATTTTTGGTGTCTTAGAAACATGATAAACATGTGAAACGAGTCATTCCGTGTCATGTATAACGCCATTGTTACACCCTAATGGAATTTTTGTTTTCACGGAGATTCACGGAAGCAATATGAAAGTTTCAAATAATAATTCCTTATTTAGTAAATAGGCTTTGCTTATGATTTCATCTTTTTTGTCGCGAGTCAAGTTTCAGGTTCCGGGACTCTCAAAAAGTCCACCAAGCCCGAACCCGATTGAATATGTGGAGGTTAAATTGAACGGTTTTAATGAATGAATAACCTATTACACCTTTGTCGCTTGATAAGATTTTCACCAAAAAATAACAATTTGTAGTTTATGAACTTTGCGCATTTAATCAAAACCATAAGATTCAAAGCGCATATCGATATTCGATTAATTATATATTTCCTTTCTAAGACTGATCGCTTACTAATCATTCCGAAGACAATTTTTTTTGTTACGCTACACTAGAAAATATTTTCATTAAAGTGACCAGATCTTTCTTTCTCCGTGATATTAAGTCAGTTACAACAAATGAGTACAAATACTTCCATTCGAGTCAAAAAATTCAAGCAATTCTAATAATAAATCATTGACTTTGATAATCGTGAAATCGGAATTTACAAATAAACCGGAAAGAAAAATATCAGATAATATCTTAAAATGTCAAAAAAAATTACTATCGTCGAGAACATTGCCAAATCGCACTACCTTAATCAAGGTGAACTCTTTAAATTTTTTCCTTGAATTTAAAATTCCCCGAGGAAAATTTTGATTGGCACGACTTTAAGCCCTATAATTATATGAAGGTATAATACTAACATTGGATTTGATCTCCATCATTCAAATAAAGCAACATCAACTACATCTGCACTTCGTGATCAACTACAAATAACCGGTCTTTTACCAGCAGCCGTGGAAAGCTTCGATCTGCAAAAAAAACGTGCACTCGTACAATTACGCGCAAAATCAACCGATTTAGAAAAATATATATTTCTTGCTTGGCTTAGGAACACTAATGTCAGGCTATTTTATCGGTTGGTGATTGAAGAGTTGGAGGTAAAATTTTTGTTGGTCATGTTGATTTTTAATCAATTATTAATGAGATTGTTATTCAATCTGAATATAAAAATAAAATGAATTAGGAAATCACACCATTAATCTACACCCCAACCGTGGGCACCGCCTGCCTGGAATACTCGCACATATATCCATTCTTGGCACCACCCGGCGTACCTGATGGCCTTTTCATTTCACTTGACGATCGTGCAAACCTCAAAAATATCATCAAAAGCTATAAGCCTTACCCGTTCGATGAATCATTGACACCACAAATCGCCGTCATTACTGATGGATCAAGAATTTTGGGATTAGGTGATTTAGGCGTAAACGGGATGGGAATCCCTGTGGGAAAATTGCAATTATATGTCGCTGGTGCTGGTATAGATCCGCGACGCACACTCCCGATTACTCTTGACCTTGGCACAAATAATGAGCATAACTTGAAAGACGAGTTTTATCTTGGGCTTCGTAGAAAAAGAGCATCAGACGAAGAGGCAAGTTTTAGGATATATGCACTAGTATCATAAATAATGAATTGTAGCTACTGTTAGTCCGTATTAATTTTGTTGTATTTTTATTCAGTTTTTCTCTTTTCTCGATGATGTAATCAAATCTCTCATCGAATTATATCCTGAGCTCTTAATACAATTCGAGGATTTTTCTTCAGAGCATGTAAGTAGCAAAGCACGCTTGCTCGTTTCACATCATTTTGACTCGATCTTCAATAACTTAAATTTATTTTAAGGCTTTCGAGTTACTACATCGATATCGTAACAACACATTCTGTTTCAACGACGACATTCAAGGCACCGGCGCCGTAATTCTTTCTGGATTCATCAATGCAGTCCGCTTGACAAAGAAAGACATTCCGCCAAAAGAGCACCGTATATTATTTTTCGGAGCTGGTTCAGCGGCTGTTGGTGTTGCTAAACAGTTACTAGATTTTTTCCAATTTGAACAAGGAATGACGGAAGAGGATGCAAAGAAATTACTGTGGTTGGTTGATACAAAGGTAAAATTAATTCACATTCATATAGTAACAATAATGGACGATGATAATATTATTATTCTTGTCGAAACCTCAGGGTCTTGTGACCTTGGATCGTGGCGACAAACTAGCTCCCCACAAAATATACTTTGCACGTAAAGACAATGAAGGACATCAATGCAAGACCTTAACAGAAGCTATCGACTACGTGAAACCAACTGCACTTATTGGGCTTTCGTCACAAGGCGGTATATTCACTGAAGAGATTTTGAAAAAGCTTGCGAGACTAAATAAGAATCCTATCATTTTCCCATTATCGAATCCGATGGATAATGCTGAGTGTACTTTTGAACAGGTAGTCTTTTATTTCGAAATCCTCTAATAAATAAGATATCATCTATTTTGTCTATTTTTTATTCTTTAAGTTGACTAAGTTGTCATTTTTTGTAGGCGATGAAAGCTACAAATAATCAAGTGATTTTTGCCTCGGGAACTATGTTTCCGTCGTATACGGAACCTGAAACCGGAAGAGTAAGATATCCTGGACAAGGAAACAACATGTACATCTTGTAAGTACGATTGTATTGATTGTATTTTAATCTCGGGATTCTTTTGCTAATCGAAAACTAATGCCTCCAATTAAAAAAAGCCCCGGTCTTGGCTTAGGCGCACTTCTAGCAAAGCCACGAATAATCACCGACAAACAAATCTACAAATCAGCATCGGCACTCGCCTACTCCCTCAACGACGAAGAAATCGCCCTCGACATGCTCTACCCAAAATTAACGCGTATTCGACACGTATCAGCAGAAGTCGCATCAGCCGTGATTATACAAATCGTTGAAGAAGGTCTAGCACGCGACGAAACGGTCATTTCGTTGGTAAAGAATGATTTGGAAGTCCTGAAGACGTGTAAAGGTCCGCAGTGGGAGAATTTGGTAAAGTTTGTCGAGGAGAATATGTGGGATCATGGTCGTGAAAAGTTTTTTGAATGTAAAATTTGAGTTGTGGTCTAGAGTTGGACAAGTTCTATTGTTAAGTGGTTAAATAGATGATTGAGGTTTTGTATGTGTGATAGTGGTGTGTATCGTATATTTTTAGTATTTTGTGTAATATACAATTTTTTAGGTGTATTTTTGATATAATAAATCAAGCAATATTTATTAAATATACATATTCAAATTTATATTGAATCAGTTTCTATCGATAATACTGGTGAATCGAAACTCTCGATCTAATCAAATTATATCTTGGTTCTTTATTTAAAAATAAAAACAAGAATGCTTCTATTCGATTCTGGAAAAAAGAAAACTCAACAGACGCAGCAAGGTCGGTACGCGGAATTTCAAGCGATTGTACTGGCTGGATTTGGAAATTAGTAAGCAAATAAGTTATTTCTAATTAACAACGAATTCTGTGTTTGGGGAAGGTTACCTTCTCTTCTGCCTGAAGTTTTTTACGAAGACATTTCAATGAGTTTTTAACTGTGAAAACTTCACGTATGTTGTAAACCTTCAAAAGCTTGTATCCGCTTACAGAAGACAATAATTTGCCGAAAGCGTTATTACCGATAGCAAATAAACCAATGATATATTATGTGCTTGATTGGTTGGAACGGGCTGGGATATTTGGTAATTTTGAAAATATTGATTTTTTTTGTCCGTTGCATAAAATCGAAAATTTAAGAAAGCTCATAAATGTGACTTGGCCCAGATGTAATGATAATCGCACAACAAAGTGGTGAACAAAAAATTTCCTCCTACATAAAAAACATCTACGAGGGTAAACTTAAGCCATCGCTGGAAGTTGTTCGTGATGAACATGGTGGAACTGCTGATGTTTTACGTTCCGTGAAAGATAAGATCAGGGTAAAAGTTATTCTCTATTATAAATAATATTATCATTTGCATCATTGCTGTAGACAAAATTTAAAATCGGGATAGAGTGATTTCATTGTAGTAAGTTGCGACTTGATTCTCGATCTTGTACCGCATGAGTTTCTAGACTATCATCGTCGAGAAGACCCGGCTTTTACTGCGTTCTTTTACGAACCAAGTAAATCTGAGAGTGGTAATGTGACTGGTACGAGTAGCTCTAAAGACGATAGTAAGTAATTTAATTTATGATCGCATATAATACATATATTATCTGTGCGAATTCTCGATTAATCGATTATTGCATCAAGGTTCAAAATTGTTCATTGGCGTGGAACCCACCCGTTCCCGATTCGTCTATATAAAATCACGTGATGATTTGGACCAGGAACTTACTTTGCGAATGTCACTTTTATGGAAGTGCGTACGTGTTCATTTATATTTTAATCTTTCTGTTTAATTTACAAATTGTTTGCTTTCTCCTAATTTGTCACCGTTTCATTATTAGATTTCCACGAGTAAACATCCACACAACGTTACAAGATGCGCATCTATACATCTTCAAACGATGGGTAATTGATTTAATTGCGCAACGAAAATCAATCAGTAGTGTGAAAGAACATCTTGTGCCGTTATTGCTAAAGTGCCAGTACCAGAAAAAATTATTGGAAATGGAAGGAATAAATAAGCGCAAGTATATTATTTTTTTATTTCATAATCTCGTTTTACGAAGATCATAATTGTAATATTTAGGTTCTTTGTATTTAGTTGCAAGAACGCAGGAGAACTTTCAAAAGAGGGCGCTTGAATACTCGACAACCTGGGAAAAAGAAGATGATGACGAGTATCCAGTACGATGCCATATATATATATTTAAGAATGGGTTCTGTGGGCGTGGTAACACGGTACCTTCTTATTGTGAATTGAATCGTCATGTATGTATTATATATATTTTGGTTCGTTTATTCTGTACTCAAAAATTAATAAATCAATTTACTCTATCATTATTACTTAATAAGATGGCAAAAATGAGCACCGGGAATCGTGTTTCGCTAACTGCAGAAATACCACAGAAAGCACAGGTAGATGAATCGACTTTTGTTATCCAAAATTCAGTAGTATTAGCGGTATTAATTATTATAAATGTTCATTATCCTTCCAGGTTGGAAACGACTCGATGATAGGTGAACACACAAAAATTGACGAACGAACATCGATAAAGCGATCAACGGTTGGTGCGCATTGCGTTATCGGCAAAAATGTCAAGATCAATAATTCAATCTTGATGGATCATGTTATTGTTCAGGATTTGTAAGTGTTGAGTGAACAAAAAACCTTCGTTTTCTATTTATTATTCAAATTTTATTATATTATTCATTGCTATTAAAGTGTGAAATTGGATGGATGCGTCGTCTGCAATAATGCGAAAATTGAAGAGAAAGTACAATTGAAGGATTGTGAGGTTGGTGGTGGGTTTGTGGTCGAGTCAGGATGTAAGTATTAAAGATATCCATTATCTTGCTGATTTTTTGCATCAAAATAATATTTTGAATATTGATAATTATGATATTTTAGTGCAAGCAAAGAACGAGCAATTAGTGGAATTTCAAGATTTAAATTAAAATATAATTTTCTATATCATTGTAATTTTAATAATGTAAAGTTATTAATGTAATGATCCCCTTATATAGCGAGATTTGATTATTGTGAACTTTCACCAAATTCCGATCACTATAAAAAGTAATTTTTTTTAATTATTTTCCTATATAACGAGTTTGGGCCGATCCATATCTAGCTTTGAATGCACAAAAATATTTATTTTTTGTGAATGGAATTGTCTATATATATACATAAAATATACAGTGTACATGCAAATTTATTAATAAACATAAGAAAATGTGAAATATTTTTTATTAACTTTATGTAAAAATAAAATCTATGCAAGGCCACCTCGATATAACGAACCCCTCCGGGCTAAAAGTTCCTTAGATTGAAATATTATGTTTTATATAACGAGCTTGCTATGTTTTCAAAAAATTTTAGTTCATTGAAAACTTTTAATATTAAAGTACTTTGTTTTATTAATAAATCTCAGTTGCGTTTTTTTTATTGCCACGGTATATGCCATGACACTTTTAAAACCAAGTACTTCTAGCTTTAATTTCGGGATCAATTTGAATCATTGAACGGCAATCTTTCACATGCTACGCTCAAAATCCCTCAATATTTTTTAGCTTTATAGAAAGTTCATGAAAGGATTTTGTTGCTGCCGAGCATACTCTACCACTCTTGTCTGGGCACTTTTTGTTAAAGTTTTTGAGCTCACATAATTAGTTGTCCCATACGATATTGATAATTTGTAGACACAATGCAGCATATATATATATATTTGAATAGTATAGCACCAGAAATTCGGCGGCTTAAATTTTATATGAGCGAAAGAAAATCTGCATTTCATTACACAAATTTTTATCCTCCAAAACTATCAAACACATCGTTTTTCCATGTCAATTTCGCTAACTACATCTGTTCCCCTCGAAATTCGGCAGACGCCACACAAAGGGCGCGGGATTTTTTCAAAATCATCGATTTTATCGCGTACATTAATAGAAATCTCACCCATTCTTTTATTTTCGCATTCCGAGTATGAACAACATGGAAAATATACAATTTTAGACCATTATACTGTATACATCACAATCCATAATAATGATCAATTCCGAGTTTGAATTCATTCTAATATGAATACTTTCTAATTATTATAGTATCGCTGGAAAGATGGTTACGGTATTATCATGACTAACAGTTCACATTTGACGCTCTCCTTTACTGCGATATTAATGCTTTTTGGGCTGATAAAAATTAGCGTTAGCTCTCGGTTTAGGTTCTCTATTTAACCATTCACGAAATAATAATGTAGGATACGTGAGAGATTTCGAGGCGAACGTGATCAGATATTATACATTATGCGATATCGAGTCGGGAAAAGAATTGTGTATCAATTATGGTTCGAAAGTGTGGTTTGATGAAGCCTCTTCGGATGGTAATGATGATGGTGATGATGCGAGAAAGAAAAATGAACGATCTCAAGATGAAGTGGAGGAGATCGATAAATTGTTTCTTGAAGGGTTTCAATTGGAAGAGGAAGGGGGTGAAAAAATCAGTTGATGTTGTATTATTATGCATATCCGTTAAAACCCTATCGCTATCATGTACCTTTTTTAGTCATAGTTAATTTACAATAGTATCTTAAAATTTCTCTGAATATGACCCAGACGGTATTATTCATTAAAGCATTTCACACTTCATTTCTTCACTATTAATACTTAATTCTTTGCTTTGAAAACAAGGACTTATCAGAGTTCAAAAATGAAGGCTGGTATTCTGAAGCATTAGGCATGTTAATTATTTATCAAAATGATAATTTACGCTCTTACTTTGCATAAACGTGCTAAAGGAAATATCCTACAAAATTCACAGAATTCTGGTCAGAAAAACCCGCAAATATTGATGGGATGCTAGGTGGATTCGGCTCCATATCAAACCTAGACATCAAAACTTCCGAACTCTTCCTTTCAGAGTATACGCGTGGCAAACGCGGCACCCGGAATATGCTGAGAGTTCCACCACGCATCGTGACAAAATACGCGTGTGACTGTGGCGCCGGGATTGGTCGCATCACGAAAAATCTGCTCACCAAAATGTTCGATCGTGTTGACTTGGTCGAACAAACCCCAAAATTCATACAACACGCTCAGAACGAGCATCTACGGCAGGAGGTGGCCGCGGGTAAAATTGGCGAGTTTTATTGTGTTGGTTTGCAAGAGTTTTCGCCTGATCCGGGGAGATACGATTTGATTTGGTGTCAATGGGTGCTTGAACATTTGACTGATGATGATTTGGTGGCGTTTTTTGTGAGGTCTAAGAAGGGGTTGCGTCCTGATTCTGGGATTATTTGTGTTAAAGAGAATGTTAACGTGCTTGGATATACATTTGATGAGGAGGTTTGTAGTGTGGTTAGGTATGTTTATTTCATTTTTTCAGAGCAGCTTATACATAAGTTTATAATGATGAACATTCTTCTCTTGTATATAAAAATTGTTAATAGATCCGATCAAATATTCAAAGATATATTTCATAAAGCAGGATTAAAGGTTCTCAAAGAATCGACACAACATGGGTTCCCGAAAGATTTATTTCCTGTCAAGATGTAAATTAATTTTCTTTTTTTGTTAGCGAGAAATCAAAATATTGAATAGTAATAATGATTTAACTATTTTAATTTCTAGATATGCTTTGGCGCCAGAATCTTATTAAGTGAAGGCATGTATGCATCTTCTTTGGTCTAGTGATTGTAAGAGGAAAGCGGTTAAAAGATTCGTTGATTAAGAATTCAGATAAAGCGCTTTCTTTTAATCAGATGATTTCATGTATCCTCTTATAGATTTAATATATATATAAATTCATGTTACACAATAACATAAAAATTAATAAATAGAATTAGAAATAAGCTTTTGATTTATTAATTGCTTGCCGGCCCGAATTACTTCACATTATTCGTTGATTTGACAGTGCTTTTCACACGTGATCTACTGTTACAATAAGCTGATAGTTAACTTTAAATTATTACCACTAGTTTATCTTTTCATAAAAAATACCGTTTAATAATTAACTTCTTTATAATTATGTATTTGATCAAATTGAAGGACTAGAAAGAACATACCAATTATAAAAATAATGTTAATTTTTTCTATACCTGAGAGAAATGACAGAAAATTTCTATTGAAATTGTTATCAGATGATACAGACACATACATAAAGTTAACCACAAACAGTGGTGATCCGATTTAATTTGGAAATTCACAAGACATTCCCCCTCCTTTTTACAATACTCGTCCCATTTGAGTTCTCCACGAAAATCCACTTTGTGATAGACTTCAAGCATATATGGAAAATCCTAGCATAAGGTTTCTTAGTTGAGACCTGAGATAATCAATGCACAACTCGGAAAAAATAAAACCGTGAAATGTTGGAGTGATCATATATTTAGTGTTCTTGGTATTTTTATTAATCGTAATATGATGGTAATATAAAGGGGCTTTTTTAATTTGCTTCCAAAATTGATAAATGTGTATCATTAATATTATTATTCTTATTGATAATAAAGAGAGGAGGTAATTTACATGGTGTAACCTTGTTTTCTTTTGGTAGGTTTATAGGTGTGTAGTTAAATGATGAACAAGATTCGTTAATATATATAAGAAAAATCTAATATAAACAAATAAGAATAAAATAATACTGCAAAAAGCATGTCATATATTTTTTTGCAATCACAGTTTTTTATCGATATCATCATCATTAACGACAAGAACATTATTATTATTAATATTATTGATTTTGTCATTAATAATATTATCATTGTCAATATTATCATCACAATGTCCAAATCCTTTTGATACTAATCCAGGAAATTTCAACACTTTACGTCTCACCCCCGACTTTGCACGTTTATTTGACGGTTTTTTGTTGATTGGATGTGGATAAGATCGAAAGGTGAGATGTTGTAAGGTGCGAGTGTACGGTGAGATTGTGTGATTGGAATTCATTAAAGTTGCGAGTTGGGCAGCAACCGATGTTTCTGATGGCTGTAGAACGAATTCTTGCTGTTGCTGTTGTTGTGGCGTTTTGTGAACATTCTGTTGATTATGTGGGGGAAGAGTAAGTTGTGGAAGGGAAGGGGTAAGATGTGAAGTTGGATGATGATGTTGATAATAATAATAGTGATTATTATTATCGTTAAGTGATAACAAATTATGGGATGAAGGAAGCCAAGTAGGCAATGAACCTCTTCGTTCTTGTGGTGGCTTTCCAGCAGTCGCTGCTAATCCTTGACGATGTAATACACGCGGTCGACTTGAATCCAGTAATTGATTACTTTTATCTTGTTGGGATATCGCTTTTAGTCCTTTCTCCTTATCAAATAGTTCGCCAAAATTGGAGTAAGTCGAGTACGCGGAAAATCCGTCAAGTGATTCAAGATCACCACCCATCATCGAATATCCGTCTTCTGCGTAAAAGGATGCATCGGGCGACGTGTTTGCGGATAATTCAGAACTGGGTGTTGATGATGGAGAAAAATAACCACCGCCACCACTAAGCTCAGGCATTGACATCGTCTCATATGGAAGAGCATCACTCTCCGTAAAGTAGTCATTAAAAGCACTAGTGCGGTGCTCAATAAATGGGCTCCGTTCAAAAGAAGAAAATGTGGTGGTAGACGAGGATCTAGAAGGTGAATTGGATTTTTCCAAAGTCTTCTCATTGATGTTGCAGCTACCATTATTTTTCTTATCATTATTCAACCATTTCTGTAGGGACAATTGATGAACTATCGATGGTAAATCCTCCTGAAACATTATCCGAAGCCTTTTTTCGATTTCCGTCTGCAGAAATCGCTGTACACTGATCACGCTATCAAAAGTTGACGAAACATCAACGCTTTCCAATGGATCATTCTTGAAAACCAGCGTGATTCCTTTTTGTTTGCTAACCACCAATACAACAATTCCTCTTAATTTCAAATTGCTCAATCGTAAAAGCATCGGTACCACTAATGGTTGATCGGCTGCTAGAATACCACGACGCGTGTATGAAGTTGTTTCTAATTTGTTATTATTCATTGGATTAGCCTACCTCAATATATATAAATGATTATTAAAATTCACCATTTTTTCTTCCCATTAAATAGCAACAAATATAAAATAATATAGTACCTGAACTTTGGTCTGTAACACTAAATAAGCATCGCCACTATATGTTAATTTGAATATGCCTCGAAACTTATCAAGTGCTAATTCCCCAATTTCAAGAATCTCTAATTCTGGTGCCTGTAATTTATTTTTCCACACAAGATACAAGAGGGTTAATGAAAATATATCAAAAAAACACACGCACACACTTACACCAATATCACCACCGCGATGTTCCTCATTCTCTCCCTCACCTGTGTGCCCAGGTTCAGTTCCTTTACGACAATATGATCAACAATATTAGCCGGTTTATTACTTTTATTCAGAGCACTATTTAGCAACTGCCTCGATTGTTCAATAAACTCTGGGCTGAACGACGGCCAGTTAAAGTGGAACGCCATTTTATTGATTCTTTGAAAATGTTATCCCTCGCGCTTTACCAATGAAACGCGCGAAAACAGTAAATTAAAGGAATGTGTGTTGTTGTTGTTTCAAGTATGGAAAGAAGGTATTGGGTGGAAAGTAAGAGCAAAGTAGCTTAAATGAGAAATTCGCATGTAATGTGAAGTGAGAACTAAGAGCCTGATCGCTTTGCAAAGCTCAAATATATAAGGTCTATTTATTTTTGTGTTGTATACGCAGAAAAAACTCTCATATAAAGAGAAAAAGACGGATTTATTAACAATCTCTCTTCCTTGCTCGCGTTCTAGCGTTTTTTGGTTGTGTATACTATACTACCCCAGGTGATAAAAAAAATTCTAGAGGGACCAAAGAAATTAGGCTGATGCCAACTACGCTGATTGATCGGTTTGACATGTCTTATTTGCGTTACGAGAATGACACACAACATCTATCAAATTGATCTGTTTTGCGTGTCTCGTGAGTTTGTTCCAAAATTTTCCGAAAGGTTATTGGTAGAAGATGAGATCAGAGTTATCGTTATAAGATATACAATCTTAGTTAGCTTAATAATGACTCACAATCCCTCGTGGAACAATGTGCCTCATTCTCCATTCTGGTGATCGATCAATCAAAAAAAGTTAAAAGGCGCAATAATTCTAAATTAAAAAAAAAAAATAACGATAATTTTAATTGATTCTATATAAGTACATAATTTTTTTTTCTCCCGGGAATAAGCACCGCTTAACTGACACAGTTTGGACTTCCAAAAGGGGGCTGGCGCTTATTTAAGGATAGTTTTGTAATTAATAAAATGAATTCTTGTTATGTTTGCAAAAATTGGGGCGAATGGGTTCTATTCAAACCTGCAAATTGGAAGAATAATTTAAATATAATCAGATCTATAGCTCTTCTAGATATAGCTAGAAAATTATAATTTTTCTTTATTTTCTTCTATATTTTTAGTATAATTAAGATATATAATAAAGAATTTTATATTAGCTGATAGATTTGTAATTTATTATCTTAAGATGTAAATAGAATTGCAACTTTATTCCCGGGAGAAATACGGTATACAAAAGATAGATCTTTCATAAATAATATAAATTAACTTATATAAACTGTTTGGAGACAATTTCTCAAATTATATATATCAGTGACACAGAGTACATAGTCGAGATCACCATTCGTTCTTTTCCCCTTTTTCCTCCCCCTCCTCCCGCTTTTTATCTTTATCTGATTCATTTTTCCTGCTCCCTTCTTCAATCTGTAACTGATCGAAATGTAACATCGTTGCAATGTTTTCAGGCATTTCACCATGAATCTTACGCTATGTTAATTTCAATTATTTTTTTATGTATCAAAAAAAGAATAAATATAAACATGTAATAGGAAATCAATAACATGTAAGACACAAAAGAATAAATAAATACCAGTCGATTAGTTTTCCCAATTCCCAGTCTTTAAAAATTATTTGAAAAAAAAATTTCTCAATAAAAATACAGGTAATTAGTATCATTTAACAAATAAATTGAATTAGTTTACCTCGGCAATCCACGATTCAGCCCCTCCAACAAAACACACGCTTTACACAATTCATTACTCGACATGTACCCACATCGACTACACACACCTTGTGTCGGGAGTTTTACATCTTGTTTGATTTGAAATGCTTCACCTGAATATATTATATCTTCAACATTAAAAGCAAAAAAACAAAAAAAGATCAATGATCCAGCACAAAAATAAAAAATTTAATGCGCATTAACGACACACCTATAATAGCACTAGGCCGTATCGCCTCCAAATCCTTCAAAAATGCTCGCGCGTGTCCGCGATACGAGTTTGGCGAGTACACGCATTCGGTGGAGAAATAGTCTAATTTTTTGAAGTATGCGTACCTAATGATTTTTTCCATCACAGATATTATTGTCGAATCGATCAAAATATCAAAGGAAAAATTTAATCGATAATAAAGCAATTTACATGACGATTTCCTTCTCGTATGCATATTTAAAAGGCTTCGACCGTCGTATTCGACCATCACCAGTTGTACAGATCTCAGTACATCGTTCGAGTCGAGCGATGTCTCCCCTCAGTACTATTAGAACCAAAATACTAATAATTTGAATAAATTTAGCTCTTCTATAAATAGCTTTTTCCCGAGTATATATATGTATACACATGAAACTTACTATTCATCAACACAGTTTCGGCGATATCATCCGCATTATGCCCTGTGACTATATGATCTATATTAAGCATCACTGCACCACGATCAAGTGCTTGGCGTCGAAACACCCCACAAAAGGTACCTGTTTTGGTGATTTGGCGAATTTATTATATTAATCATTCTACATGAATACATCCATGTGGTGAAAATACAGCATAACGTACAATTATTCTTTAGCCCAACCTCTTTCACTATCTCATCCATTGTCCAACCATATAGCTCACTATACGAGACAATTTTCAGCGGAAGATTGTATTGCTGTTGATTTCGTTTGACCGTCTATTAGTCAAAATCGAATTTTGTGTCAGAAGATGAGAATTAAATATAAATTATAATTTGTATCCAAGTAATAAATTAAAAAAGTGCAATACCTCTAATGAGTCATCTCGGTATCCCGTTATTCCTTCATCGACGGATAAAAGAAAAAGATCAAGCCCATAATCGTATCGATCATTAAGCGTTTTCATGACATGTGCCAACACTGTTGAATCTATTGTTATTATTAGGAAGAATATTCAAATTAAAGAAAAGAAAAAAGAATATAATCCACGGAAAAGAAAAAAAATTAATATTAAATGTAAATGTAACTCTTCAAACACTCTCATGATAGTAACCTTTCCCGCCAGACGCGGCAATCGCAACCCTATCACCACTCTTGAAAAGTTTGTTATCTGTAATGGTGCAGTGAACTTCTGTCTCGAAGATATGATAAAAACAGTTTCTGCATAGCTTTTCTCCTGTTTTTGGACGTTTTACGCTCGCACGTTCTTCTTTACATATAACACAAAGTCGTGACATTTTTTATCTCATGAATAGATCAAGCGATCGACATAATAAAAATTTAAATTTTCGAAACCGAAACTTAGCAACAAAAAAGAGATCACGTGCATGGAAAAGTCTTTAAAATGGACCAATCCAGTCCAGCCCAGTATTTTTCCAAGTTTATTTAGTTCAATAACTTTGGTTCACTGAACTGGGAGAGTTCAATCCAGTGAAAAAAAAGAGATGCATGCTAATCGAATAAATTTGTTTCTTAATCAAGTAGAAAAAAAAGAGAGACAGACAGACAGACTAAAATAAAGATTACATCACACGATGACGAATATTTTCTAACGATCTATTATAAAACGAAAAAAAGCTTAACGATATGTAAATGTCTTGAGTATATTTTTCGGGAATTGATAATTAACGAGTTTCGCTTGTAGCACTACTGTCTCCTATGGCTACAGAGAATAATTAAGGTACAAAAGATCGCGCGCGCGACGCAATACACGCGCCTTTTAATATAATACGCGTGTATAATGTAAAAGGTTTGTCGCCCCAAACATATCGTGTCACACCGATAGAAGGATTCGATCCCAATACGCTATTACTTGATTGATTAATATCTCAAAGGTTAAACAGAACAAACAAACTTAAGAACAAAGAACGAAAGAAAAAAAAAGGATTATAAAAAGGATATTAAAACGTAGAAATCAAAAAATCTAATCTCAGGAATTGATTAACAGAAAGTAGTGTGTTATTGGGTTGCTAAAAAGTCCGTTTGTAATTTTTTTTTCCATAAACCACGTAACGCTTGGATAATACAAGTTCTCTAATAAACAAAATGAAAATGATGAAATATGATGACAAAAAATGATAACGAAGAATATAGAAACCCTAGCCATTAAAACCTCTAAATTTATTGTTTTATTGTTGCTGCTGCTGTTATTTATTATTGTCGTTGATTTTGCTGTCGTCGTTGTAGTTGTCGTTACTATTATTATTTTTTTTTTTGTTGTAAATACTAGAGTGTAGTCTTTATTAATTTATGATTACGTTGGATGCTCGAATAAAAGAAAATCTTAACATTATTAGTATTATACCATTGCTAATACTATTACTACTATTATTATTATACAAAAAAAGGGTGACGTGGTTTATGGAAGCGATCATAGAGGTGTAAGTGGGGAGTGTATATGTAAAGGGACCAATCATAGAGAAATTGAAATTTTTAGAATAACGGTGATGACGACAAGAAGTAGTATAGTATAGTATATATGAAATAGGTTGAGGTGACATATATGTCGATCGCGACGGCGATGTTTCTCAAAAAAAAGTAACGGTGGTAGTGCGTGTATAAAATGACGAATAAATGATTGGAGTTTGGTTTTTTTCATGGCTTTTTTTCAGAATATAAGATCAAGTTCTCCCTCTGAAGACTGTTTAAAGTAAAAAAAAAATTGGTAAGTATAAAAATATTTCGAAAAAATTATAAACAGGTTGTATGATAAATAAATTACCGAGTCATCTAAGTGTTCGGGTCTGTTCGCAGCAAAAAAAAATTATAAAATGATGTTAAGCAAAGATTTCAAATCACCATAATGACATTAATGAAGATTATTTCTACTCACGCATCTCCCAACGTGGCCTGTAATGATTTTACCCGTTCTTTTAGTTCGCTTTTTTGAATTAATAATTGTTGAATATATTCGACAGCTAAACATATAAATGATGAATTCCCACAAAAGATCGTGAGTAATAGTGTAAAATTTTCCTTCCGATATATATATATATATATAAAATATATATATTCCCATAAATACACATCACTGATCCTAATGAATCATAATTACATACATTTTTGCAAAATCAGTGCTTCACTTCGATGACATTGACTCAACGTTGGCACTATTTCAACTAACTGATCAAACCCCATACGAATATGTTGCCTTCGTTTCTGTTCAGAAGCAATATGATTAGCCTTCTTCTCGGCCTCTGTTAATAGTTCGTGCCCTTTCTTTCCACGACCACCACGATTACTTGATGATGATGATGTAGATGCAGTAGGGTTAGGAGTGGAGGTAGAGCTACTAGTCTCCCCTTGTGATTCTAATTTAGGCGATGACGATGATTGATTGTTTATTGTTGGATTTATCGTTGTCGACGTCGACGATGACGAAGCGACAACACATGATTCTACTATATTTGATGATGGTGATGATGATAATTGTTGCGTATTTTCTTGCGCGGATGTCAAAGTTTCTTCTATTATTCTATTCTCACTTGACGTCGATCCAATGTTATTATTATTTTGGTGATGATGATTATTATTATTGTTATTATTATCGAGAATATTCTTTGAGCTTCTCCGTGTGGGATTTGTTCGCTTAGGAGATTGATGCTTTGAGGATGATGTACCATTGACTGATAATGGAAGTGATGGCGATCTCTGTCTTCGGGTAGAACTTGAAGGTTCAGTTTTTATGTATGGTGGTGTTGATACTACCTTTCCTTTTCCATTAACATGATGATGGCGATGATGATGATGTTGTTGTTGTTGTTGTTGCTTACCAATACCACCACCGCCACCGCCATTAACAACGTGATGATCGTGAATTGAACCAGTGTTATTATTGTTATGTGTTTGAATCGGTATTGATGCTGTCGGGTATGTTGACGATGTCTCTACGAATGAATTATTTAAGTGATGATTATGATGTTGATGAGGTATACCACCATTCTGAAAAGCTGATGTTGCATAGGTGTTATTGTTCGGTATTGTAGTGGCAGAGGTAATAGGATACATATAGCCATTTGAAGTGGTAATCGTCTGAGATCCTGTTCCAAACCCAGTCCCATATCCTGTTGATGCTTGATACCCTCCTCTCGATGTTGTCAATATAGATGGTGAAGGAACTTTACGATTAGATTGTAAATATCAATTAATAAAGATTCGATTATCTGCTCGAATTCAATCAAAATTTCACATCATTGAGAAAATCAAAATATTCCCACATCATCAAAAAAAACCTACTAACCTCCGAAACTCACATCAGATACCAATGGATGCTGAAAAACGACATTATTTACCGGTTCCTCTACTATCCATGAATTGAGAAATTCATTAAACATCCTTGATTCGTCCTCGTTGAACAATCCTTGCGTTGGTTGTTGTACCTGCACCTCTGGATACCTCAACATGTGTTCCGTATTTGTGGGGAAGGACATGTCAGTGTGTTGAGGTAACGAAAGCGGTGACAGTGGCAGTAATTTATTATTACTACTAATATGAGGAATGCTTTGGGCGACGACTAAATCCAGGTTATTAATTCGGGTTGATAACGACGAAATGTGGAAAGTGAGAGAGCGCAAGCGAAATGTGAGGTCAACTCTTCTTAAAGGGTGGTGTAGAAAAAAACACACGCACACGCACGATTCAACAGTAGAACAGGAAGAGAAATATGGGTTAAGTCTGTACGTCGATAGGGTGGGTTAGTAATTAAGGTTGCTGGTGTCAATTCCAATAGATAGATTATTATTATTTAAAAATTTTCTATTATTATTTTCAAATATAAATTATTATTATTTTATTATTATTATTATTAATAAGACTTACGTTTTATTTGGAGATCCGAGTATAATGGAAATTTAGAAAACTGGCGGTCTTCCCTTGTGACTCTCACGCCGCTGTACAACACATATGAGAGTCCTTGCAGAGTGAAACGGTATATTTATTACTATACTGACAACTGTATAACGATAGCATCAATTCTTATCCGAATTAGTTAACTATTTTTATTTTTTATTTTATTTTAGATCAATGAATAATGGCCTGAGCTTTTTAAATTTGGCCGAAACTTATACATCACAACAGTTTAAAATGCCAAGATGTGTATTCAAGTCATGTGATAATCTTATGAATTCATGTGTGAATTTTTAATTTATGAGTAAAGTGGGGTTTGCAGTGATACGTCAAATGGGTGATGATGAACTACGGACGATGAATGTTTTTTCTTTTGCCCGTGTCCGTGTGTAAAGGTTATTTTGGTTTTTTTTTTATTTATTCAAACGTAATATAATAAATGTACCATAATTAGAAAATTCTAATTGCGTTTGGAATATGTGGCAGGAGTATATTGGAAATTCAGTTTTCATTGACGGATGTTTTTTTTCTGACATTACACGTGTATATCTCAATACAGTTTATTTGGCAAATATCATTTATTATATCAACTCAAAATTCTTCATTTAACTAAAGATGATTGCTTCTTCTTGATCCGTACGTAAATAACAATCATCGTTATGGGAGACGCACATACATAGATTTTTTTATTCATGCACAAAGAAAACACGAGATTAGATTAAAAAACTAGTTTTTTTTTTGACATAATTCGATTTATTTATTCAAACAACAAAAAAAAGGATGGAACGTAAACGTTATTAACTTCGATCCCTTTATTATATAATATGATCAACTAAAACCATGTGAATTCCGGTATGTCGATCCTATCGTGATGATGTACCGTATTTTCGCAACAATTAATTAAAAAAATAATTCGAAATCTGAATGCCATCTTGCACTTGGTTATCAATTTCGTCCGCTCGGATTTCTCTCGCTTCAGACACAATAATACAACAATAATACAATATTACAATATTGCTGCTAATACTGTAAACACTCCGTTGTCGCTGTTTACAATACTACATAGGTTAAAGAATGCGTGGACGTTATTTTGACCCTGAGTTCTAGAATACTAAATTTGAACCAATTGTTTGCGTAATAAGTAGCGATATGAGAAAATTGCTGCGGAATTTCCATTCTGAGCGAATTTTGAGCTAATTCCTTGGGGACAGGGCACTTTTCACGAAATCAGCGGAAAATTTTAATCCGGAACGGGAAAACTTGGGGTAGATAGAATATATTTGTAAATTTATTCTATTAATCGAAGATCATTTCTAAATTGGTGCATATAGGAAATGTCCTATTTGCAATCGTAAATAACCCATCAAATCTAGGAGAAAGTTTATTTATCGTTTGTAGCGTGCTATAGACTGGCAAATATTTCGTTTTATAGAAAATAACAATAAATTTGCAAAGATAAAGTTATCATATCACTAAATAAAATGTTCTTGCATGGAAAAGGCATTCAAATGGGATAACCTTGTCGACAAGCGCCGATAATCGGTACCAACCTTCATCGAACTGTTAGAACCAGATCCTGAATGGTTTAGTTATTCAAATGGCTGGTTTGGAACCAAACTAGCAAATTTAACCGGTTCTGTTAACATCCCCTAGTATGTGTGCTCTTTTTGCCATTTTACCATCCCAGCACCTCGTACTAATGTCACGGTTAGATTGAGATGTTAGATACGGCTTTTTGTTATGACGAAAATATTTTATCCCGATTTGTTTAGAAAACTCTTATTTATTTTGATTGCGATTTGATTGATTTGATTGATTCGATTGGTAGATCATCATTTGAGATGAAATATTAGATAGCGATATAACAAAAATCGATTTTCGCTTCGTTAAAACTGAGACTTTACTATTTAAGAATATCAGTTGAAGGAGCAAACCTTGGAGTCGACCTCACGGTTTTTAACCGAGATTAAACATCCGCAATGGTCCCAATCACTTGGCTTCTCCACGATATCTTTTGTTTATTAATGTGAATCGAAATGAGTATGTGTTATATCTAATAATTAGAAATCAGTGTTTTACAAATGAATAGAATTGTTACTGTACTCGATATCTCATTCTTTAATAATGGCAGATGATAAGACTTTGGAGACGGTATATTCGTCGTTTTTCGTTCGAAAAGAGGATTGACGAAAAGTTTATAAATTGAATTCGAGTAGATTATAGAATCGGTGGCAGCTGGCTATTGATATAATCTGCGAATTCTATATATTTCATAATAATAAAAAGATATACAATATGATCCAGTATTTTTCTATTATGCTAAAGCGAGCCATAATCTAGTCATATATCCAAGCAAATTATATTTAATTATGCTTTATTATATTTAATGGGCAATGATTAATTAGTACTTAATTTTTATCATTCAGCTGTTTATTTTCAACCATAATCAATTACTTAATCAAATCATACATATCATACTATTATATTGTTAGAAATATATATATATATATATATATATATATATACATAGAGAAAGTAAGTTTTATATTTAGATAATATTTCTTTAAAGTGGATTCCTTCATTTAATTAATATCGATAGTCATTCAAGATGTGCAGAGGTAAAATAATTTTGGATTAACATATCGATATTTTTCTATCGCTATATTTCGAAATAATCATTATTAATGACCAGATACAGCATTACCCAACCAAACAACCTGCAAAATTCTCGGTTGCAATAAACCAATCTTTGTTGACCAATTCGGCAACGCACGCCCTTTTTGCTCAAAGACTTGTGCTAATCGTCACAATAGCAATCTATTTTTTTCCTCACCTCCACCTTACTCTCGTTCTTCACCACAACAAACGCGAACCTCAAACGGTCTTTGTAAGACTCAAGGATGCAACAAACCAGTTTACGTGGAATTGAGCGGACGAGCTCACGAATATTGTAGCAGAACCTGTGCACGTAAATTTCTTTTACAACAAGAATTTGGTGTGTTGCCGTCTCAGCTACAACAGCATCAACAGCAGTATCAGCAAGTGCCATCATTGTACGTTCAGCAGCCATCACAACAACAGCAATTACCGTTTTTGCCTCCTGGATATCAATATGTGATCGCTCCAATTCTAAGTATCCCAGCACCAACTGGACAGATCCCTAGTACTGGCCAATTTGTTGGTGATGCGGCACTTGGAGCGCAACTTAGTGCGGGACTGCATGCTCGTGCTGCTTCTACTAATTCTCATAATAATAACCTTGCTGAAATTGGCGGTAATAATAGGTAAACAAATATCTTTATTTCAATTCATGATTTTACAAACTACTATTCATTTTCTTTAATTATTCAGGAGCTTCACTTTTTCTCCTAATACGGCAGAAAACGATGATGGAAAGCGTCCGATTCATTATAATGCGTCATCTTCTGGCCCTCTCCGCGATAGTCGTGATGGTTCTTCGTCATCTCGCAAAGAGTCCATGAGTACTGATCACTCGCCGAGAGTTCAGGTTTTTAGGCCTTCTAGGGTTGCCACTGATGACTTTGTTTTGATCGATGAGAATATGTAACATCAATTTTTATTCAATTTTATAATTATCGTTATTTATATAATGATTTAATTTTCTTTGAATTTGAATGCTTTTGCGAAAAAAATAGCTGATTGTCAACAAACTGGACATCCAATAAATAATATAACGCGCGTCCAAATTTCTCGTGCGTTTCAAGTTCATCTCATAATACATATAATTATATTTATAAGATTAGTTTTTATTTAGACATCTTTTTCTTTTAAAAAACATAACTTGGCTGTGTTTATAGCTTTTAATCTTCTCTAATACAAAAGTGCTACATATCAATTTAAATATACGCAGCTTAGAAGAATAAATTTATCTTGTTATTAGTCAAAAAAAATCTTCATAAACGATGACGATGTAACGCCACAATGTAACGATATCGATGATTGCGTGAATAAGATAATGATAACATTGAATGAGCTAATAATTTTAAAGGGATCATGGTAAGTAACCTAAAAACAGTCTTGAGATTTCTTAAAAGTGGTTTCGTATTACAGATACAACGATATGGTCGGATAATCTTGAATGCATTAGGAAGGAGTGCTAACGATGAACAATAGATAATTAATGAATTCCTGAACTTAACCTACAAAAGGCATAATTAACAATCTATTTGATCAAAAGAATATAAACCGGTCTTAAATTAAAAAACAAACGATGAATATTGTGTCATCGTGACTATATAAATAAACAATTTTTTTTTTATCAAAAAGAGTAAATGGATAAGAAAACAAATAATCAAAAACCAACGAATAATCTAACTCTGCCAAAACCTGCACAGAACGAAATCTCGTTACTAACAACTTCACTTGTAAAAAGCAGGGATAGCAATGGAAGTAAAGGAAGATCCGTCGAGTCAATAACGGCAACGACGCCAATTCGAATAGCGTCGTCTTCACAGCCTCAAAAACAAGATGTAACCTCAAATGATCTGATAAAAGATCCAAGTCATGATGAATATAATAATAATAATAATTCGATAGTAAAAGACGATGACA